TCCATCAATGTATCTAATATTCGTCACGATAATCTGTGTCTCTCCTTTATAACACTTTGGTGTACGTTTATAAAACTAGCGCAGGATAAAAACCTGGTCTTGTGCATCACTAAAATACTCGAGTTTATTTATTGTTTACCCCATAGCATAGTATACAACTATTTAAAATATAAACTTCAGCAAAAAATGCATGCTGCTCGAAAATAAACAAAGCTCAAACAAGTTTTCAGGCTCTACTAGTTCAATATTGGTTACACTTTTTTCTACTATTGTAGGTACTGTAGCTAATGCTAAGGAGGAATCTAATAAATCACGTTTATTCCTTTGAGCTGATTAAGCACCATTACACCTCTTTTATATTTTACAGCTGACAACCAGTACCAGTGTAAACTAGAAAGGAAATAATTAAAATGAGAAACAATAAAGTGTACAGGAAAGTCTGATGTGTAAACCTGGGTAAATGTAAAATTGCGCTCAGCATTTTTATAGCTGTATAGCTGGGTAGCTGTACTTACTCATGGCTGTTAGTTTCAAGAAACAGAGACTAGAGATAATTACTTTAATAGATGAATGTCATCATCATACTTACAGCTATTAAAACTCCATATAAAAGATTTCAATGTAAAAGGTACAATAAGAACAATAGCATACACTGTATGATGCTATGTAATCCAAACGTAACAGCTATTATACATTCTAAATTAGGCAGCAGTGAGATTGGTATCATTCTGTGAGGCTGGTGTAATATACAGTATATTTAGTGATGTACATTTTTGTTTAGAGAAAATCCATGAAGAAATTGATGAAATGATTGGAAGAGAGAGAAAACCAGCAATGGCAGATATCCTGGAAATGCCATATACTAATGCTGTGATCCATGAAATACAGCGCTGCAGTGATATTGCTCCCTTAGCTTTACCTCACATGACCTACAGAGACATGGAGATTCGTGGATGTTTCATACCAAAGGTAATATTTAATATATATATACACGGGTACAGATCTTTACCGAATCACCATTTTGAAATTTTCTATTTCCATATCCAGAGTTACCCTCTTTCTGCAGGCAATCACAGTGCCCCATGTTATAACCTTTGGGAAACCAATGCAATTACCCTCGCTGGGGTTCATTAGCGTCTCTTGGCAACACATGCACATCCAGCCTACTGGCTTTGCATTTGCAGCACTGCTGCACCAGCCTTAGACCTCAGGCCACTGTCTGTTCCTACAGACAGTCTCAGTCTTGTGCTAACCTGCACACGTGGTTTTTTAAACCCGCAGCACCCTGCTGCACTGGACTCCACTCTGACTCCTGGGTGGAGTTTTCCTGTCTCCCAGGTGGAGCCTTGAACACTTCCCAACACCTTTATTTTAAAGGCTGTGCACACCTGTGCCATCAGCAGGCTCTAGACACTATCATAATATGGACTCAGAATTGGAGATTACACAGTGGCATTGCCACGCACTGCCACAATATGTTTGTGCAAACACTTGTTAATAATGTAGCTTTACCATAGCAAGGATCATGAATAGAGTTTGGTACTTGGCAGTTTTCTCTGCTTTAAGAAAATATATAATGTTTTCTGAGAGGGGGTGAATTCATGTTTCTAGCCAAAAATGCGTGAAAAGTGTGTGAAACATTAAAAAATTGCTCCAGTAGCAAACTGGTTAAGTTAGGATTTAAACTAATCCTAGACTAGGTGCTTTGTGAGCTGGTCAGTCAGTGACAGGAAATCCATTAGTATAGGATTTTTAGGCTGTCAATGTCTTTAACTATATGTATATACTGTATAGTGATTCATTGATGTGCCAATAAAAACTATTGGGACTTTTTCACATAAATTACTATTAGGGATGCACCGATACCAAGTGCAGTACTCGGTACAAGTACAAGTACATATTCAGATACTTTTCGAGCTCCAAGACTAGACTAGAGAACAATTCAAAAGTTAGGAGAAAGCTGTCAGCTGGGATTCCTGCATCTCTGTTTTAATGTATTGTTTTGGTTTTATAAATATAAATAAAGGGATGCACCAATACCATTTTTGCAAGTACAAGTACTGATACATTTTTGTTTATTGTCATGTGACAGTTTTTCTAAAACAATACAGAGTAATGATTTTAGGACAGTGGTGGAGTGCCAGAGCCAGGTCCCAGCTGCAACCACTGCAATCCTGGTAGTTCTCATGAAAATGCCAAGTATCGGCACTTGTACTCGAAAAGTATCGGTGCATCCCTAATTACTATGATAGTTTTCATAGAGGGTATATTAGAAATTGGTGTGGAATTACTATTAAACTGCACAATTAGTGAGTAGGATTTGGGGACTTTGGAATAGTATGTGTTGTTTCAATCCCCACTATTTTACTAAAGTCCTCCAATAATGTTGCTATGTCTTGTGATGAGTTTATTACCTTGCATATTTTGGTGTCATCAGCAAACACCGAAATTTAACTATTAATACCAACCTCAATTTTGGTAATAATGGGTTAAACAGTATTGGCCCTATGACAGAACCCTGGGGCACACCACTCATAACCGTAGACCATTTAGAAAATGTGCCATTTATCAATACTCCCTGTACACATTCCAGTACTCAGTTCTCTAGCCATGCACATACCATTTCCTCAATGCCCATATATCGCTGCACTTAGCAACGCACTGGACTCTAGACTGCAATATTTCATTGAACACAGGGTTAGAGAAATAGGTTATAATAGGGAACATTACAGTGTAATGTTCCTTATTATAATCCATTTCTCTAATTAAATTAAATCACGGCACACTGTGTGCAGACACCGGGCTTCCCCCCTCCCCCTCACTAAAGGTGCCCATACACCTGCTGATTATGATACGATAATCGCGGGTGATCCCGCGATCGTACGATAATCAGCAGGTGTATGGGCAGCGTGCGACCTCTTCTACTGTAAGGTTGCATGACTTTCGTCTTCCGAGAACGCTGGAAAACTTGGTGGCGTGCTCAGAAGACAAATGCTGCACGGGCCAGTGTGCGCAAGTGCAATCATCGCAAGCCATCCCCCAGCACTGCAATCATCACAAGTACGATCTGCCTGTCCAAGATGGGCAGATCGTACAAAATTTTAATCACCTTACAACCATTGCACAACGAAGTCGTGCGATGGTTGTAAGGTGTAAGGCCACCTTAACTCAGTTACTTACCTTACACACTGCAGTGCTGTGAAAGCCCAACACCATCCCAGCCACACTGTCTGAAGGGAGTGGGACATGTGACACAGTGGCGGCATGAGGAGAGGGGTGATCCGGCAGTGTGTCCTGTATACTGGTATATGTACGGTATATGGGCCCCCGCAGCACCCCCCTACGCGACGCAACTGAAAGTAGGGGAACACCCGTACACTGTCAGCCTCGGAGCCTCTGTTGTGCCCGGCCTGCTGTATGCCACCGTGGCGCAGGCCCAGCCTGTATTAGAGAGATCCTAAAAAAAAAGGAGGGTGAGAATAGAGATCAACTCAAAGTGCGGCTTGTAAAGAGGGTCGGAGAGTCAGAATATGGTACAAAATTGTATAGATTTATTGTTTAAAATCTCATTGGACACACTAAATGCACCAGCTTAAACCAACACCGGTTAAACATCTAAAAATTGGTTATTGCAACAACCCATTCACTCATAAAACACAAAAATACACTCTTAGGATGAGCTGATCAGCATGATAAATGGTACCGGATTGATCTCAAAATATTTGAGATAACAACATTTGAGTAATAGTAATAAATTCTAAATGATTCAAGGAATATATATCTCTCTTAGCCCCTTAGACTTAATTAGGTTCTGTTTAAATCTGTCCAAGAGATCCGGGGCTATTATGTAGACTGAGGCTGGTGATATAATCAGTCCAATGTTACATGTGTAACTTTTACTTTTTCAAGTTATAGAAAACTTGATTGTAGATAAATTATTACAGCATTTGAGACTTTAGAGAGATCATTGCATTAGAGAGATCCTGCCCACAGCCCAGTCGGCCCCTGTCAGTGTGCCCCCCCCAGCCTTGGGCCCTGGGGCAGCCACAGCGGCTGCACCGCCGGTAGGTCCGCCCCTAAGAGGTACATAGCAAAATATATAAACTTCGAAAATAAATCAACGCAGTGAGAATATAGGGACTAGGTTCAAATTTGCCATGGTGTAAAACATAATGAAAACAGAGAAGACAGAGCAAAGAGGGCTAAAAAAGCATCCCGATAAATAGAGATTTACGAAGATACTTAAATAGTAATAAGTCCCACAGGAAGCTCATTTGAAGTGAAAGCAACCATGAAATAGTATGCCATACCGATAGGAAATGACTACTACAGTATATAACGTTCACTGCATACTGAGCTCGGGTTGTAAAGGAACATACAAAGATGATTTTGTAATTTCCTAAGGTCAGGGGCGTAGATAAGGAGCGGGATGTTCAAACCACCCCCGCGAGTGTCCTGGTCCCATAATTGCATAAAGCAGAGTTATGTTACCCAGGGCAGTAGAGTGTATAATGATTATATGTAATGCCTGCAGTGGTGACGTGCTCCTGTCTGTGGAGTGGGTGGGAGGAGCTGAGGAGTGTAATGTGAGCACAGTAAAATGGGGATCAGCTTCAGTTCCTATCCAAGGCACTAGTAATTCCCAAATAATAATGATAGCAACAGTGAGGAGATGGCTGACTGATTTTGTGTGGGTGCACTGTGCTATCTATATCTTACAACAAGGTGGACTTGTTAAATGGAGTACTCACTGCTTTATACACTGTGACAAGAGGGCAAATGTAAGGGTCAGATGTTGGTTCACCTAAAATTATTTTAGTTTTTGTTTTAGGTGGACACTGAGAGGCAGGTATTTGCTGTAAAGTATTTGTACCCTGTTGTGCTTCAGAACTATGCACAATCTGTCACCATTGCTTCACTTTACTTAGCATAATTGTTCCTAAATTACCTGCAAGTTTTGTATCTAGAAATGCTGGTTAATACATTTAGGGCTTATGTAAATAGATGAATTTATGATTTTGTCGTGTCATGAAGCACACATAAAATGCAGGTCACCAGATGCCCATTTACTTTAATGGTGCAGTGTGGATGACAGTCCTGAGGGTGTATATGACCTGTTTTGTGTTGCTTTCTTTGGATCCAGCAGGTTCTTTTGGGATGTGTTTGCATTGCAAGCTAAGCAGATCAAACCCAGCCTTTCATGGAGCTTTGCATTGGAACACAGGTATTTAAATGCAAAAGGCAGTGATTGACAACAATACCGCTTGTGCCGCCCCAATAGGGCATAGAATATGTTATTAGCATTGTTAAGATTTGTTCCCGGCTGCGCCTGTTTGTTCTCAGCTGCGCCTGCGCGTATTTGTTCCCGGCTGCGCCTGCGCGTGTTTGTTCTCCGCTGCACCTGCGCGTGTTTGTTCTCCGCTGTGCATGCGCAGAGCGGGAGTTTCGCTGACAGAGCCCCCCTCCGACGGGCAGCCTCCGGATGCCGACCCTGGTGGGACGTGCAGAAGCCCTTTGGAGGAATCGACGGACCAGGTCGGGAGCGTGGACATGAGCCGCAGGCTCCCAAGATCAGAGCAGGGAAACTGATAGGGGTACATGATCCGACAGCCCACCAGGCAGATAGGCAGCCCCGGCGACCATTCGGAGTAGTTCCCCGTTGCCAAAGACCATGTCAATTCGGGCCGAGGAGCCATGGGTGTGGGATAGATGAGAATACGCCCGCTGTCCAGGATTCTTCCACCTCCAGATCTCCTCCAATCCGGCCGTGTCCACCCACGAAAGAAGTTCCAATCCAGCCGGTCTGGCCACATTGGAGTCCAGAAAGCGTCCAGTATGTTGTTAAAATCACCTGCAATGAGGACCGGCAACGGAAGGAAGGCCGCTAATTTTTTAAATACAGTATAGAGGATCTGCACCTGGAATGGGGGTGGAACATATACATTAACCACAGCAACCTGTTGGGCATT